ACAGTCTTTTGGTTCCATAAATGGGTCATGTATATGGTTGAGACCGTCCAAATACATCTGCCAGGCCTGCACGACATTTGCTTGCAAAATGCAAGGGTGCTAGTCAAGGATGAATAAAAGTACACAAATACAGCTATCAAATCAGATTGCACCCTTGTGCATTCAAGTGCTGCTATCTAGATAGATATCAGAATTGTTGTTCCTGCTCAATGTCGGGGAATGGGAAAGGATTCGTAGCTGAGGGGTGATTTGGTGGATTCCCTACGTGTACAACCCAAGTGCGCCAACCACGCCAAACCACGAACCCGCGGCAACTGCGTCAAGCTACAAGTTCGCAACGGGCCAAATTCAGTCTGAACTCATTCGTGTCCTACTGTGACCATCCATATCCATATCTGGATCCAAAACCCCCTGGTTCAGTAGTACGAGGTTTGGAGGCAACGCCGTTCTCTTGATCCGCCAGGTTGAAGAATCCAGGGTCGATATTGGGGGGATGAACCGCACCAGGGGTGGCACACATTAGGCAAATCACAAAAGCTTACCATCTGGGCTTTAGGGAAGCTCTGAGTGAAGGGACCTTGAGCTCGTTTTATCCCCGGGTATGCTCGTGAACTCTGATGCGCTCAAATGATAGCAGCCGTTGACGACCTAGTTGCCCAGCGACCCAACCAAACAAAAAAGGAAAAAGGGCTTTTGCTGAACAACTTGGTATAGCCCGGCAAGCCTGCGATTCAACCCTCTAAGGACAAAAGCGGAGCAAAGATTTCAAATCCCCCTACCTTCAGGGAGGGTGGGCCCAATTCCGTTTTCTTTGCAGGGAAGCTAAAATAATAAATGGAGATCTCCGAAAACCCGTTGAACCCCCCCCTATCCTAAACTCATGAAACAAGTGGCCCCCTGTTTGAACCTGGTGCCCGCTGGTGCCTGGTGCTGCCTTGCGCCGTCTGTTCAAGGCGCACGTCACTCGACTCCTTCCAAGCAGCACCTCCTCGAAGCGCTGCCGGGCTTCGCCGGCGCTGGCCGCGCTCCGAACATCCCTGCGCCTTGGCCCAGCACGTGAAGCTCCGAGATGCTCCGAGATCTGACCTTTGTTTGGTGACGTGAAGCCATCGCCTTTTAGCCCATTTTTGTTTGTGGTGATGTTCCATGAAGGCAACTAGAAGGTATCCCTCCAAAAATTGCGGCTTCGCTTCTGAGAAACTATGCGTGATGGGAGATTTGGAGCTGGTCGACAAATGGCCTGCCAGGTGCATCTCATTGGAAAATTACGCCACCCTGTAGAAGCTCACAAAGCTCCCGAGTTAGCCAAGTAGTGTATGACTGAATGGTCTGAGACCTCAAAAATGGCAGACAAGTAAACAGCATAAGCACTATGTAGATATAAGTTATAAGTAACTACATCTGGCTTCAAACGTCTTGAACATTAACACATATCTTTCCACTTGTGTACCGAAATTAGTAGTTATGTGCAAATTAGCACCCCGTGCAATATGCAGGGTTGGTCACGGATGAACTCAACGAGGTTGGCTATATGCACTATGATGCAACATATTTCTTCGGAGAAAGAGGAGAAGCACCTACCTGATGATGGGCTGGCGGTGCTGTACTGCCAATGGACAACTTGTTGGCAATGGTATGCTGGTTCTGAACCATCTGAAGTATCCAGAACCTCTCAAATCCTGTTGCGCTTGAACAACCAAGAAACAACAACGCACGTACAGTATTGCCCGAACTTGTTGTGGTTGCGGATGAAAATGCGCGGTTTGCTCAGGGGCCCGTTTGATGGGTTTTAAACAAAACAGGTACCAGCTCGCAAGGGACATCCTAGAACCCATTTGCTAGAACCCACTGAAATTAGCAGCATGCAGCATGTCCAACAGTCCGACGGTCCGGCTGCCACTAGGGCGCACTGGTACTTGGAGCCTCCGCAACTGCTCCGTGACGTTGCGGAAAAGCTGAACATCGACCCGACGATGCACCTGCACCGAAAGAGGACAGGTTATATGCTGAGGCGCTATCGCCGCATTTCACTTGGACTACTTGCCTGGTGATGCGAAAATGCCAACAACCCCAGTTCAAGGATGTCCTAAGGATGTGCCCCAATACCTATCCCGCTATGAGAACTTTCTGTGATACCGCGAGCGGGGCGACAATGGCCTTAAGCTCACCTAGCAGATTGCGTATCTGGAGGTTCGTCCGCAGGAACTTTCCCAAGCATCTGCAAGCGTGATGAGGCGAACAACCTCGGTGCTTCAATGCCGGCTTCACCTCGAGTGCTTGCATGAGGAATTGCCTTGACAGTGGCCTGTTTAAATCAGCCGTGCCCTCTAGGCTAAGCAGGTAAAGGGGGGCCTTACTTCCGGATGTTTTTTGACCCAAGCTTGAACTGCACTTTAGTTCGGAGGAGGCGTCCCCGGACATCGATCAAACCCCTGGTCGGCGAGAACACGCGCTTAAACACGGGGCGTTCAAGCTCTTGTTACTTGGCATAGTTTTGGCTTCAAGGTCTGGGACTGCCAGTCTTGCAAGGTTTTGGAAGTGCAGAAGCCCTGAAGGGGGGCCCTCCATTCCTTTCTTTCCACAAAAAATGGTACCGCACCATACCCTCCCGTCGCCCCGGAGCAAAACTTGCAGCCGGCGAGCGTGTCCGCGCCGTTCGCTTGGGCTTCGGCCAGGGTCGGCTGCAGAAGTCCAGGGCGAAGTCGGCAGTGGTGCGGTTCACCACATCCAGGCGGCCCTCGAAACACCGCAAAGCCTGAGGCAAAGATCGCAGCCAATGCATTTTTCCAGCTCGTGGCTTCCATGCTGCTCTCCTGACAGGTCTGACTTCCGCTGCCTCCCAGTTCAGTTGATGAATGGTTGCCTTCATGGCCTGATGTGAAGAGTGCCGTGATTTTTGGAGAACACTCGGACTGGTGCGAACGCTTCCCCTTCCTTCCCCTCTGGCTTTTGCTGTCCAGAGACGTTGACTTGTTTTGCTGGAATTGCATTGTTTGTTGTAGCCCACCTTTGTACATGCCTTCGGCTTTAGGTTGCATAGCCGCCATCACGCAGGAACCAACGCAAAACAAGAATCCTAACCGTCCTCTGCAAACATCACGCCACCAAAGGACAACTCGCAAAGAAAAACATAACCTGAAAGGTGCTTCTGTTTGAAACCACAAAAAAGGAACGTTTAGGTAGGTAGCCGCCAAACTATCCCGCCTGCAGTACATCATCGGGGTTGCAGGACTGTGCGCCGGAGAAAGTGAGGCAACCCGCCAGCACCACACCTGGCAGGCGGAACGATCAGGAAGCTGTCCAGAAAGCCGTTGATGCAAGCATGGCGATTCAAGACCGATGATTCCAAGTTTCTTTCTGTGTGGATTCTTGCTGAAGTTCTTTGAGTTCCAACACATGATATTGCCCATAAATGGTAGAACGAGCCACCCCCCCCCCCACATATCGGTCGAAAGCACCCTGGCCTGTCAGTATGGAGCGGGCTCCACTTTGGCCATGACGCGCCTGTGGGCAACAGCCATAGGTTGATTGGATTGGAACAAGCTGCAGGGTAAAACCTCAAGCTTCAACTGAAAAGCGCCCAAAACCCATGCTCCTCAAGCCTGACCTCAAGCAGTAGGACCGCCTACTAAAGTAACCAACCAGTCTTGCCTTTGGCACTTCGCAACTAGGTGTAAGCAGGCGGTCGCGACAAATCAAGTAACTGTCAATCCTCTGTAGTTTCCTTTTGGGTCGGATTGATGATCTCTCAACATGTTCAGCCATAACTCCGAGACACCCACACACTTACATAAGTGTCATTCAACTGTGTGATTACACTTCAGGTATATGGATGGAGCCTTTTATGACAGCTCCTTACTTCCATATCCGTCCCATTCCACATGTGCCAGTAAGCTGTGGGACATGTCCATGTCAACCCATCAACTGTCACTTGTGCCTTTGCGTCACAAATTCTCAATGATGCTCAATGAATTGGGCGGCGCATGTCCCGACTTGCATGCCAAGCGGCTGGCACACGCGCAGCAGGGCATGGTCTCACCATGCCGGAGCATTCAAGTCATACAAAGACTTTTGTGGTCTGCAGCTGGTAAACGCACAAAGCTCTTTCTAATCTCCTTCTGCAGAGCAAGATGTTCCCTCTACCTCATGAATTCTCAAAGTCAGCATCTCAATCAGTCTCAAGCCAAAGGACTCAGCATTGCTGTCATGCGACGTTGGTTTGTGGCCAAGGACAAACAATAAACAGTACCGGACCACTTGGAGGTGGGGTCAAGCACGGGGCACATCTCGGCTGGCAAATTGAAAAATATTCTTGCCGTGTAGTCTGCCACATGCTGCTTCAAATGTTGTTTGCATGCACGTTGTTGTCCAGAGTCTATTTGGCATCAAGCACGTCACACATGTGCAAGGAACGGATTTGCCTCTGAAGACACATTTGTTTGAAGAGTTCCTCCGACAAACATTCCTCTGTTTTTTGAGGTGCTGTCTATTTGTGATGCAGCGCTCAACATGGGCTCCTTGCTTCTGCAGCGGCTGCGGATGGGTGCATCATGGCGCGTCCGGTCGAGGGAACCATCTGGGTCGTTTGCGGAAGCTTGCGACTGCAAGTTTACTTAAAACTGATTTAGGTTCCATAGCAGAAACTTCAAGTCGCAAGATTCTTATGCCGCATGGCACCACCCCTACATATTGCAACATTATGCAATGATTCCTGCAAGTCCGAGGTGGGGCAGAACTAGCGTCCCTTCGCCCACCAAGTGCCCTGCTCCCTGTTTCCCTGAAGCAGGGCTACAACAACTTCGCGAGCAGGAAAAAAGCAAGTAGAACAGCCCCACTTTTCCCACACTTGCCCCACTTCAAATGAAATCTGAGGGGCACCTACCATGTTCCTTCAGACTTACGGCCGGCGCTACGGGGGGAATTACCCAAAAGCTTCTGTCTTAGCCGCAAAAACTTACGGCCGGGGCCACCTCACACTTGCGGGGATCCGAGGGCGCAGCCACAATGTTTTTGAAGGTGAGGCCTGAGAGTCCGAAGGCTTTGGCATCCCGGAAATTTGAATGAAACACCAGTTCCCTTGAGGCGAACTTACGCCGTGGTACCGAAGGTTTGAACAAGCTGACGTGCCGTGACGGCGGCAATGCCCTGCATGCTGAACTAGCTGTGAGTACATGCTTGATGCTTGGGCATTCCCGTCCTCATCACTGTCCAAGCATATCACACAGGTCCAACGCGTCACTTGGCACATCCCAAGTAGAACGCTACGAGCTTGCGGCTTGATTGGAACATGCTTCACTTTCCCCTGGAAGCCACTAATAGAACAGAACGCTTTGTGCGCTAGGCTGGATGCTTCAGGAATCGCGATGCCTCCAGAAACGGCCTCCTGGGGCAGCATGTCGCCCAGGGTGAAGGGACCTTAGCTTGCAATGAATAGGCTGGGGCGCCCGACAAAACCTGTCGGCAAACAAGTGTTGACCCTTTTGCTGGAAGTTGAGGTTCTGGGATGCAGCTTACACCCTGCTTCTTGACCACAAATAAGGGGACTTCTGTGCCACACTGAGAAGCTTGAGCTTCCTTCCTTCTTCTCAAACACCTACAGGATTGACACGGCTCTCTTTCTGCTTTGTTGCTTCCAAGCGACAGGGCTCCGTGGGACGACCACTTTCCTGTTTGGAGGGAACTCCTGACACTTCCATGATTGCTTCAGGAGGGAAAGCGATAAGGTCAAAAGAATCAGACTTCTGCATGGAGGTTCGGCCCAAGCAAACAGCAAAGAAGCTTAGCAATGAAACAACAAACCTTCATTGCGAACGTAGACAAGATCGCACCTCATGGGATCAGGTACGCGGACAAGTCTCGGGCTGCGCCGCATCTGAAGAGTCTCAGGCAAGATCTGGGCCGTGACACGAAACCGGGGCATGAAAGCCTCACCTGCCGGGACTATCACAAAGAATGAGTCTCCCAAAGAGGGGCGGGCCCTGTACGTCTCCACTGGGCAGAATGGTTCGGTTGCGGAGCTGAAAGGCAAGAATATGGTCAGAACGCTCATTTGGTTTTAGATCTATTTGTGAATTGCCCTATCAGGTCGCGTTGTAGATTAAGAAATGCTTCCTGTCTGCCACCAGTTTTGACTTGGCAGTATGGGGTTGGTCACTGTCTGCCAACCTGTGATGACTGACTGGTCCCTCACGATTCCCTCACAGGATCATTCATGAGGAACGCAATATTGGACATCCTGGTGCTCTTTTCCTACAGGCTGGGATGCCCATTTGCGGAAAGGGGCACCTTCAAGGGCCGGCAACTCCCCGGCTTTGCTAAGCCAAAACGGGGGCCTTTGTCTGCTGAGCCCCTCGACCCTTGGATGTGCCTTTCAACGCGGGTCTTAATGACGAGAAAGGTCGGACTCCAAAATACTTGTGACATTGAGTGCCCTCAAAAGGTGGGCTCAATCACATCAACCTCCAAATAATTCTATCAACCCGCCTCCAACAACAACATGCAACAAGGATCATTTTGATGGGCGCAGTGCGTGGTCTGAGGGCGTCCCATTCACGCGAGCCTCGTGCAAGCGCCGATGCAGCTCTGCACAGGAGACGGCCTGCCGAGGGAGGCCTGCTTTTGGCGTAACCCCGGGCCAAAAAACCGGAAACCACACTTGTCGAGGGAGCATCAATCCCTCTTCTTACGCTCCTTCTCTCTCCCTCTCTCTTAGGGGGGGGAGCGATTTACAGCTTGGTTGCATTCATACAGAAATACAACCTAACTGCCACGCAAAACTTGAACCAAGGTGAAACCAGGCCTCATCCCCAGAAGAGCAGCCCACCAAAGTCCCCCCCCCCCCCCCCAAGCGCATATTCCCAGCTCGACTGCAAGCTTCAGCTTGGAAGACATACTCATCACCTGATGCTGGAAGCCCGTGTCCGCGCTCATGTGTCAGTTTTTTGTTCGGCACCAGCTTCAAGCCAAGGACCCCAAAGTGTCAGCGTGTCTCGGCTGAGCTCGGTGGCGCTGGTCATCCCTCCAGCACACGGCAACCGAAAAATAAAAGGGCTATGAAGTGCACACAAGTGTTGGAATAAGGGGCTGGGAATGAATTTCAGTCGAGAATTTGGAAAGGTCTGCCACTGATATTAAACTTGCCCGCAATTGCCGCAAGCCTGGTCCGCCCTCCATCACCGGCGCAACCAATGAATTCCCTTTGAGTTAGGCGTCATTGCTTGCATATGCCAAGCACTAAGCACAGAGAGGAATCGAATGCGAAATGCAACCGGAGAAAAAAAAAGAAGAAAAAAAAACGCCCTCTCCGCATCGTGACCGCCCCACCCTATTCGGCCTCAAAAGGGCCAGCCTGGAACCTGGGCTGAACTAAATCAGCATCACCCTCGTGCATTTCCGCATGTGAAATCATGGGACGAGTCATGTGGTCAGGTATCTTCGTTCTCAAGGAATCCTAGGGTGTTGAAAGCAGTTCGTGGTACATGGGCTAAAGCCGGGAATGGCCCTCTGTTGCCTCATGCAGTCGCGGATGAGTCAAAATCAAGATTTCCTTTGGGGAGTGCAAGCTTAGTTTGAATGCAGTGCTCCCATGTTTTCAGATCCAAATGAGATCACCCACTACTGTCACTACTCATTGAGCATCGCAAATGTGCTCAGCACGTGACCAAGCTCTCCCAAGTTGCTGAGGTTGGCAGGTTTTAGGGTCCCTTAGTTTCCTCTTGGAGTAGAACTTCACTCAAAAATTGGCCCACCCGGTGACATGAAAACCCCAAACAGGAAAACAGATCAAGAAAGAAGCCCGCAGCTTCTTTTCGCGTATTTGCCGAATCCATCCCACGAAACAGAACTTTTGGGCCCCGGCTCATTAAACCCTTGTCCTCTGTGCCCCAAGCTTTTAGGCATTTGGCGGTTCCTGTCCCAGGCAGGATCCCGCACGGGCCCGGGTATGACTCTGGCGATCCAAATCGATGTGAGCATTCGCTACGAAGGCAATCAATCTGCGAGGCAAAAGCACAAGATGCCACCCTGTCAGGGTCACTCCAAACTGTTTTAGCATCTGGGCCTTAGGTCTGGCAACCAGGCTTTTCAGCAGCACCGAGCTGAGACAGGAAAATGCAGTCGTACATTGGACAAAACCGGTCTGTAGAACTTCATTTAACAATATCCCCCTTTCTCGCCACTTCGAAGGGTTCACGCCTAATGATATATGTTTAACTTTCTTGCGTGTGTGACCTAAACTTTGCAGAACCCCACTGGCAAATATCGCGGAGACCGTGGTGGTGGAACGGTTGGCAAAACTCCATCATCCAAAATCCTAAGCATTTTTGGCCAAGACATGCCGCAAAACTGAGCCAGGCACCTCTGACCAGTGGCCTGTCGATGCGAAAACTGCGAGTTTGCTGATATTTCCAGCTTTACAGAATGGTTCTGGATGCTTCCCCCCCCGCGTGCCTTAATTGTGTGTGGCAACTGTTGCTCACTCCCTAGCACCCCGACACTCATACCGCAAAAGCGCGATGGCGATGGCGTCAACTCCAGGGCCTGTAAGTTGGCAACCAAAGGTCCATGAGCAACCAAGGGCACAGAATATAATACTTGTAAACACACACATATATATATATACATAAATAAGTTCATCCGCATGTGTATCCGCATACACATGTGTATATAGTATATAGTGTAATGTCTGAAACCCTTGTGAGTGGGAAAATGTAGGCGCACACAAGTAAAAACTTTCAGCTGCGCTGCGTGCAGCTGAGAGCCCTCAACCCAGTGACCTTGTCAATGCTACAAGTGAATGCACAGTTTGGGCTTAGCCAAGGATAGACCCCAACGCCTCTACAGGCCGCTGGAACAAGGTGGGAGAGGTCTGAGGGGTTCCTTTTGGTGAAACCCAAATGTTTGCAAGCTCTCCTCTCGGTGGCAACACAAGGGCCTTTCTGCTAGCTCTCGACTGCAGGACCCATTTCGGTTTCTCATGTGGGTCGGAAACACATCCCGAGCCTTCACCTGCAGGAAACCATCAGCGTAGTCAAAGAGCTCTCGTGTCCCCTGCGAGGCGACAAGGCAACCGAGCCCAAAGAGCAAATCAATTTACATGTCCAAAGCTGAATGTAACCCTTCGGGTACTGTACCTGCTGTGGCCGCTCGCTATTCTTTTCGTGGGGCAGTGTTGCTACGGTAACCTTTTCGCGGACACACCTCGTAAGCCCAACTCAATGAACATTCCGCCATGTAGGCATAGAAACTTGCAACTTGTCATTACGCGCGCAGCATGCAAAATGCAATTCCGCAGCACCAGTTCAAAAGCTGCAAACTTTCAGTACAAACATTGCACATTACTCCTCACAGCCCCCGGTCGCTACACACACACATGCTTATAAATATCTTGGCAGGCTAATGCAGCTGACACAAAGACCGCTTCACGGCGAGTTCTGACACCTCTATAAATGGCTTTCACTACGCAACAGTACAGAAGTCGAAGCCAAATCGGGAACAGCATCAAGCTGACCCTCAAGAGCCACAACATTTTGTTCTCGGTTGGAAACTGTGGCAGTTGGGCCAAAGGCCGCAAAAGAGTTAATTACAAGAATGACATTGACGATCAAACTTGATGGGAATTGGAGTAGTTTTCAACCAGTCAAAAACGCGCCCTCCGCTAAGCGTCGCTGGTAGGGCTATTGCCCCTTCCGCGAGGATGGCCACGGGCAAAATGATGCTTGGAGCAACGCCTGAAAAGTGGTCTGAGCACGGCCGAACAAGCGAATCTGCACAACACACGCCAACAGCACTCCACAGCGTGTTGGCAGCATGCCAGTAGTTCGCCAGCAACATGCTAGAAAGGTGAACGCCGAGCGATGACCCCATAGGGCGTGCTGCGGCTGGCCAAGCGCCATGCCAGCGCAACACGTGAAAGCTTCTGAGCAAGCTCAAGAAGACATGTCCCAACAAGATTGATGTGACAAACAAGCCTCCTGTTGTAGACATATCAGTTCACAAGCTGACAAGCACGGATACTACACTTGATAAAGGCCAAAAGGCCGGAGCGTATGACTTCTGTGTATGAGGCTCCTGTCATCAGTAAATACAACTCTTTGCCTGCGATGATAAACACGTTTTCTTCCACTCGAAGGTTCAGCCACAAGTTGCACAAGTCTTTCCACAAGGCGCAAGCGCACTTCCCAGCCAGTCCCCCAGGCCAGTACTAGGCTCTTCTTTGGAGGTCGAAAGAGATACGGCGCATTCGGAGATAATATGTGACCGTTGGTGAAGAATTTTCATTGCCACTTGCCAGCTGCCCACCCGCCCCCCTTTGCTCTATGTCTTCTTCTCAGCTGCCACTTCCTAAATACATCCACACATCCTTCCACCCACACAAACAAACACACAAACACACAAACAAATACAAGTACAATGCAAACACAAATGCAATGCACATGCACAAATACACAAACAAATGCACACACAAATGCGCAGACACACAAATACACACACAAGTACACACATGCATCCATTTATCCAAAAACCATGCGCTTGCACATCTGACACATCAATACATCCACAAATCCAGAGACAAACATGCACAAACATCACACAAGCACGGGTTCTTCAAAGTCTTTGAAGAACATCAATAAGCTTGAGGCTTCCCAGGTTTGGCTTTCCAAACAAACCACATGATGCTCCATGGTACTGGCAATTTGCCCAGGGAAAACCACACTTGTAAACAAAAACCATGTCAGGATTCACATAAGGCCCTCAACAAACCATTTGAGCCCTGCTGTTCATGCGCTGGGTTGATCGAGCCGGACCACGATTTTGCGCTCAATCGTTTGCACTTGGGCCATTCATGACCCCTGTTCCGCTTGCAGACTTCGCTGCACTATGCGAACCGCGGGGCCTTCCGCAACCCGCGCTGTACAAGCAATTTGGCATACAAACGGCGCTGCTTCCAAAGGCAGGCGTCGTCTTCGTGAACCGAATGGAAACCCGGAAGGAACTCCAACAGCTAACAGCTCGCCACTATAACGCCCACTGCTTCGGGTTTCCTTCCGGCCCCTTCCTCAGCAGATCTGCCAGCCAAAAGCCAGCAGGCTGTGAAAGACGGGCTGGTAATGGCCCGGCCTACAAAAACTGCACTGGAATCCCGGTTGGAAACAAAACTTTACTGCAGGCAGGCGCTGGCAACATGCTGCCAGCAAAGATGACCCCGTAGCCCAGATAAACAAGAAAACTGACATGCAACCTGCAGCAAGTCACGCAAAGGTTCCAAATCTTCCTGGGAATCCCGAAAAAACACCCAGGCCCGACACGGGCACTGTGCCCATGAATCATGGACCTGCTGGCGCAAAGGGTGTCAGGGCTGGGAGAGCTGTGCCATGGCCAAAACTCCTGTGGGATGGTCTTGGTTCCCCTGGGAAGCTGAATATCAAGGACATCGAAGTTCCCTGTATACAAGAAGTGTGAGGGGGCATCTGGGAGCTCTTAAATGCTGCATGTGGACTCTGAAATTCCGGGGTTCCGAGAGACCATGTCCACTAACCTCTCAAGGCACGGCTAGCCCAAGTCCGTGAACATGCACCCTTACCGTGCCAATGTCCAAAAACCTACAAATTTGATCAATTTCTTCTGTCATCCCTCCAAACCGCCGCTCGCAGCGGTTCACCGTGGGCAGTGACCTTGCACCTGGGCTGACATGGGGTCATCGAATCCGTCAGCCGGTCATAGCTCCAGACATGAACAGGGGTCGTATAATGGTCGTATGTCACCCTTCAACATCCCAAATCGTGATGGGTCCCACACGAAAAGGGGTAATTTATTGTAGCCCTGTACTGGTGGACAAAACAAACCATTGGGCCCGCCTCGGTTCGGCAAGGAGCCTTCACCGAGCTGTTTTTCAGCTTCGCCCCCCGGCGCAAGCGAAAATCAATGCACCCAGGTCACCAAGAGACGCCAAGGTGAAGCCGAACGCAGGGCATCCCTTTGGGTCTCAACTGCAGTGCACAACTGAAGGACAAGCTAAATCATTTGCCCCATGATCCTTGACTACCTTTTTTTTCAATTTCACGTGGACATGTGAGGTCCAGCATCAGATATCTTCCTCCGACAAACAAACACACGTCACCACGGAAGCGTCCGCGCACTGTGACCTCTCCAGCTGCGAGGAGTCCATCTGGGGGGAACAAAATTGTTATTTGGCGGCAGTCAAAAGGAGCAAACAGGAAAGGCTGGCAACTTAAAGGGGCGCAACTGAGCAGCAACCCATCACGCCACAACGCGAGTTAATTGTCTAAAACGCAACGCGCATGGGCTGGTGAACAAAAACCGCGCCCTGGGGCCTGAAAAGGTGGGCCAACCCTAAAACCGAAGCTCCGCAACATGCAGCTGGATGTACTGCTTTTGGCGGGGGGCCACCCCCCACCCACCGATCTTGTGACAAACATGTTTGGCAACCACCACGCCACCCAGCCGTAGCCTTCCCCGCCAAGGGCACGGATGCCGGAATTCTCAGGGGGCATGGCTGAGGACAGGAGTCCTTGCCGTAGCGCCTCAGTTCCAGGTGCAAATGCCACGCGCCGGAGGCAATCGCTTTGTGAGCCAAGGTCGGGAAAGGCTGTCCACTTTTGGTTGCAAGTTTTCCAAACCGGCCTTGGAAGCTTGTGATCCATCCAGTTCCGCCTGAGCCAAGCAACGTGACAATTACACCGGTGCAGCTACCAGCCATCACACATGCAGAAAATATAATATAATGCTATATGCACCTGCTAGATTGAGGGCTCCCACACTAATGGTGGGTTCCCCATTGTCTATTCAAACCAAGCCCTAAAAGTGGGCCACGCTTCGCGGCAAAATCCCTTTCAGCCGACTGGCTGCAGCACGCTCTGCAGCTCGGAGTAGCTGGACCACATGGAGGTGCCGCTGAAGGGCGCCGTCAGTGGTTCCCGCCTAGGGCAAGGCCGGGGGAAGGAAGCGGACCTTGTGATTTAGCCTCCCCGTTTGTAGGGCAACCAATGGCAACCCTAACCCTCAAGCACACCTCGTCACAGTGGGGACTTGGGCTTGGGCCTGAAGTGCGTGGAATCCCCGGAAGACGACGACTGTTCCCCTTCTCTTGGCCGTTCTGCCCTTCAACGGATTCAACGGTTACTAACGGTTACCATCAGCATTTCCGTCCCAAATGTGCCTTCCTCTGGCTCAGTCCCCCATCCCATCTTCCCAAGCCCGGCGAGGCGCATGAGACGCATCTGCTTGGCAATGGCTTGGCCACAGTGCGAGTCAGCCGATGCATCCTGGAGGTTGGTGTCATGTTGCTTTGGGAGAATCCGGCATCCTGGATGATCTTTGCTGTTCAGCATCAAGAAGAAAACAAAGTTTGGGCGTCAGTTCCCAGGGTTTCTCATGTAAATTGTCCCCTTGAAATATCATACCAAAGCAAACTCACGTTCAAGCGATTTGCTTAATAAGGCGATGATTCAACCAGGGAAACTTCTACCACCCCTTTCTTGGTGACTTGATACTTGAAGTGGATTTCCTGGGCCCGGTTCTTGCTTCGTGGAAACCCGCCCCCTCGCCGCAATCGCCGCAATCGCCGCAATCGCCTCGCATAGGTCGCAGGGGGCCGGGCAAAGCGAGGAGGACCATCGGTGCAGGTCCTCCTGAAGCTCCTAGCACAGGGGAAAACCGGGAGTTGAACCTACCCTCCCACCCTTTTTACATGGAACCTGACGTTCGGGGAGTCCGGGTTTGGTCAATTTCCTTTTAACGGTGGCATTCCATTGACACCGTGCAAGTAGACGGCACAATGTTCTTTAATTTGGGACGGTAGTATATAAATGTTCTTGCAAGGTGGAACCCACATGGGGGTACATTCCCGGGTTCCTGACCATAACGTATGAGTGACCCTGTCAACCAGCGAACCTGGGCCATCTTGATGGGAACCAAACATATGCTGGTCAAACATGGTTTTGGCCGCTCTTTTTCTGCCACTAAAGAAAAAGAAGGTTTAATCCAAAGGCGATTTGCTGGCACTACAAATAGCCCAAGGCACCACAGCA